AAGGGCTGCTCGTCATCTTTCCCTGCTATGCAATGACATGCATGGGTTGTGCAGATGTGCTGCGTAGCCACGCCCAGCACTAGGGCTTATTTTTGGGATAGGGCTTATGTTGCACAAATGCTTAGAAATCCTGCTAGGGCTTACTTTAATGGGTAGGTCTTATTTTGGGGGAAACATGGTAGCAATATATTAGTATATATATATATATATCTCACTACAGAGATATATAGTGAACACAGCTATGGCCAGGCTGGTTTTAATCTTTTAATCTGCTGGAGGCCCAATTTCTGGGATAAAAAAATAAGATACTAAAGCATGAGATATGGGGTCACTGGTACAAGGAACACGTAAGCATTAAAAGGAGAAGTATGCCTAAATCCTGACTAGGGAGCCTGCCTTATTCTTCAGTGACTGGAGAAAAGAGGAGGGATGTGGTCGGGTAAGTCACTGGCCATCCTGGGTGGCAATGTTTTGAAGGCCCTGTTTAACTGTCATCTGCCTTGTGAAGACTTCCAGAGTGTTCTCCAGTGGAAGGACTTGGTAGAGTGCTTTCCTACCCTTTCTTACCGTGCAGTGTCTGGCTTCCTCGTGAGATAATGTTACTCGCTACAGAATTTTTCTGTGTAAAACTAAATTTTCTCGCAGGTAAGAGGGGAGAGATGACAGTTTATATCATGGAAGTATTTATACATAAAACAAATCCTCTTCAACAAGCCATGATTTTGGGGTATATAAAAAACAAAAAAAATGAAATTAAAAAGATTTAAAAAAATTTTTTTTTTTTTTTTTTGAGACAGAGTCTCGCTTTGTTGCCCAGGCTAGAGTGAGTGCCGTGGCGTCAGCCTGGCTCACAGCAACCTCAGACTCCTGGGCTCAAGCGATCCTCCTGCCTCAGCCTCCCGAGTAGCTGGGACTACAGGCATGCGCCACCATGCCCGGCTAATTTTTTCTATATATATTAGCTGGCCAATTAATTTCTTTCTATTTATAGTAGAGACGGGGTCTCGCTCCTGCTCAGGCTGGTTTCGAACTCCTGACCTCGAGCAATCCGCCCGTCTCGGCCTCCCAGAGAGCTAGGATTACAGGCGTGAGCCACCGCGCCCGGCCTAAAAAAATTTTTTAAAGTAAAAAAAAATCCTTTTTAAAACCCATACCAATTATGTTTATGTTCTTAAAAGGCAAATAAATCCTGTTTTACTAATACTAATAGGAAAAATCACTCAGCCCATGTTTTCAAAGTTCACTGTCTTTTATGATAGTTACTAAAGGCTGAGTGTGAGTTTTCTTCACTGCTTATATTCACATCCATTCATTTACTAATATGTTTGGATATTTGATGGAATTAGTCTCTCTTTCTTGTTCCTTTTTAAAAAACATTCTTTGGTATTAGATATTATTGCTAGTTTATTTTTCTAAATGAATTTACAGAAATTTTATTGAGTCAATGCTGATTTAATGGGATTATCTTTTTTAAATCTAAAAATAATTTTGTGACAACTGATTTAGAAAAACAATAGTCTCTAGTCAGGATTAAGGCATACATCTTTTTTAAGTTTTCTTTTAAAGCTCCCATTTTAGTGTAATAATTGCTTTTATACCAATCATGCATATCCCTCATTTAGAGCATTCCCAAGTATTTTAGGATTTGATAGCCAATGTGAATATGATCTCTTGCATTTTCCAGCTGTATTTGTAGGATTGCTATTGATTTTTGTACCTTTTATCTATTAATTTTACTAACCATATCATTTCAAAATGCTAGTGTTATATCTTCCTTTTCAAAAGTTCCAGCTCAGGATGGGCATGGTGGCTCATATGTATAATCCCAGTATTTTGAGAGGCCTAGGAGGGGGAGGATCACATGAGGCAAGGAGTTTGAGACCAGCTTGGGCAACACAGCTCATCTCTAAAAAAAAAAATAAAAATTAAAAAAAATTAGCTGGGCATGGTGGCTCATGCCTATAATCCCAGCTATTGGGGAGGCTGAGGCAGAAGGATTGCTCTAACCCCATGAGTTTGAGGCTGCAGTAAGCTATGACTGCACCACTGCACTCCAGCCTGGGTGACAGAGTGAAACTCTGTTTCAAAAAAAAAAAAAAAAAAAAGGCCTCGTGGCTCACACCTGTAATCCTAGCTCTCTGGGAGGCCAAGGCAGGCGGATTGCTCGAGGTCATGAGTTCGAAACCAGCCTGAGCAAGAGCGAGACCCTGTCTCTACTATAAATAGAAAGAAATTAATTGGCCAACTAACATATATAGAAAAAATTAGCCGGGCATGGTAGTGCATGCCTGTAGTCCCAGCTACTCGGGAGGCTGAGGCAGAAGGATTGCTTAAGCCCAGGAGGTTGAGGTTGAACTGTGAGCTAGTCTGACACTACGGCACTCACTCTAGCCTAGGCAACAAAGCGAGACTCTGTCTCCAAAAAAAAAAAAAAAAAAAAAGTTAAAGCTCATTCCCTTTTAATGTTTATTTTATTGATCAGAAGATATAAATAAGGTCAAATAATGGATGTTAACAGAGGTCATTCTTATTTTGTTACTATCATTATAGGAATGCTTTCAAGTTTTACTGGAACCCTTTTAAAAGTGTATGCTGCATTTCTAAAGTAACTATCCTTAGATGTAACTTAACCCCTTCTTGATAAGGAGCATTAGGAGTAGTTACCCTATGGTTTCCTCATCTCTAAGTTAAGGAATTAGTCCAGATCAGTGTTTTTCACATTTTTTTATAGCCAGCCTGGCAGGCAAGAAAAGGATGGACAGGTAGGGCTTTGAGCCAAAGCAGGTCCACTTTTATCTATTTTACATTACTGAAAAAAGTTTTGATGCTTAAAAAAAAATTGGAAACCTTTAGATGAGACTCTGATCTAATATTATATAATTTTTAAAGTCTCTTCCAACTCAAAATTCTATAATTAAGTCCTATTTAACTTCACACGACCACAATGAAAATTATTTCCAAAGCTTAAAAAATTGACGAAAACCAAGATAAAAAAATTACCTATGTGAATATTCAAAGAATGCCAAACAAAAAAAAATTAATAAAAGGGAAGAGACTACATCTTTAGCAGAATGCATTGTATCTGCAATGTGATAGGTGCTCAATAAACATTAAAGTACTGAAAGAAAATATACAAAAATACACTACTTTTTAGATGAGTGGATGATATGGGTATGCTATTTCATCTTCTTTACCCTTTCAGTTTTTTTACAGTGAGAATATATTATTTTGATAAGCAGGGGAAAAAATATACCAAGTTGAAGTCTCAACTATGAAACCAAGTTCATTATCTTCCTTATATATACAACAATGATTTCTTAGCTACCCATCTTAACTCTAGTCTCTCCATTCTTGAAATCACTGTGCATCTAAATAGCAAATGAGTCCTTCTTAACTACCCTCTCATTTGGTTCTTAAATAAATCTATATTTTTCTTTTGCTTAGACACTTTCAGAGTACTCTCTTTTCTCTACATATCAAGTCTCAAAGTCTTTGGTCCCACAACAAATATCCAGTCTTGTTTCCTGTGAATTTCCAAGCTAGTTAGCTCACACTCCCATGATCATTAACAGGGCCATTCATTCTTCTGGTCTTGGCTCTTTTGTAAGAATCCAACAGTATGCCTTGCCTTCTGCCTATCTAAGCACAGCTCAAGCTTAGCTTCCTCTCTGAGATCTCTCAGAATATTCTAGCTCTCCAAGATTTTTTTTTTTTTATTCTTACTCTATAGTCCTGAATCTATTCCATGTAATTTAATGTTTGGTCACGTCAGTCTAGTTGGTATCAGGGAGCTTTTAACCTTCTGTCGTCGACTACACCCGTAATCTCCTTGATATCAAGAACTCTGATTTATACTTATTTTGTTGTCCCCACTTTCTGTCCAGAACTAGCTCAACAGTAAGGACCCTCTGAGCAGTCATCAAATACTTGTTCATTAAAAGGAAAAACACTTGAAAACCAAATATCATATCCCTTGCTGCAGGTAGGTAGCAATCAAGCCTTCTACTTTAATTTTTCTAACTTTTCAGAGCAAATTCCAGATTATCCTATATATTTCCATTTAAAAATAAATATTGCTAACACCATTGGGCAAGTAAGACATATGGCAATATAGAATGCTTTGGTAGCACTATGGCTGTGACTTAAATTACTGTGGATCAAACTGCCAGAAGCTGAGAAGATAACTGAATTTTCCTCTTCCTTTATCCTCTAGTGAGGACAGAAGATAACTATATCATGCCTATCGATGAAAATATTTAACAATAAAAACTGAAAACACTGCTTTATAACTTAAATAATATAGTCTTACTACCAAATGTTTTAGTCATAGACTCTCTTGGAAGCTTGAATGGAAGCAAACTTTAGGGTTTTAATTATGGATGAAGCCATACAATTCTGGAAGCAAAGTATAACAAGCAGCCAAAAATGTTACACATATGATTTTACTCCAAATGGGCACATTGGCCAAATGGTGAGGCCCCACACAATCACACACTTTGACCACCTCCTCCATAACCACCAAAAGGGGGATCAGAGAAATCTGTTATCATAGATATGAATTCTACGTGTTCACTGTGGCGCCAGTGGGGCAGAATCAAATTGTTCTTGTTTTTCTGATGTTTGATAGTTTTGAGTTGGATCTAACTACATTATAGCTATTTAATGGTCTATCGGGATCTCCCTTCAAATAAAAGATGAAAAAGATACATCTTCTATTTCTTGCACAAAGGTGACCTTAAAGTTCCTCCCGTAGTCATTGATTTTTCTGTTTGACTGAAAACATTTAGCTTAAGAAAACTTTTAATGTTTTTCATTTTAATAAATGAGAATCTATATGCTACTTATCCATCTAACATGGGTTTACAAAAAAGATGCTGCATCATTAATTTTACTTATTACTCAGAACAGAGAAGTTATATAAATCAAAATTATAAAATTCAATGGAAATGTTTTTGGAAAGGTGAGAAAAAAATCTCTATACCCAAGTCACAGAAACTTACCTTTAAAAGACTAAGGTTCCTTTTAAAAGCAGTCTCAGCTGCTTTCAGCTGAGATGCCTTTTCTGTGTTTTGATCTCCACATTTATTCTCCATTTGTTGAAGTAACATTAATCTTTGTGATACTCTAGAAAAATGAAGATTATATAAAGTTAAAGAAAAAAGCAAACATTTTATTGCCTGACAAAAACTCATTTCTTAATTGCACTTCAACTCTAACCTAGTAAAGTCAATTACTATGTCAACTAAGAAGACACTTAAAAGCAGGTAGTTCAGTAAGTCTTAAGTCAATTTGGATAAAATTATTTTTACTTTCATTAACATATTCTTTATATATGCCATAAGTACATGCTTCCGTTTTTTAGCCTCTCTGGTCTTTTGAAATTATTTTAGAGTGCTGAAGATATGTTTTAATTTTTGGTGAAAATGCAAACTGTAATACATATCCCTTTGTACACATAGTTATATATACCTCCCGACACATACATTGATATAACTTGCTATATGAAACCTTCTGCTTAACACTTCAGTACCCCTGAATCTCATGTTACACATTTAGAATTGTGCTAAACTTCCATATGTTTGAAGAAGCAATAAAAATATTTTTTCCCTCTTTTTCCAAGGGAAAGATGATAGTTTGATATATGAGTGAGAAGCTGTGTATATGTACGCATACTCACAACAAGGTATAACAGTAATTGCAGAAAGATATAAAAAGTCATAAGTAAATTCTCAAATTACTTTGATATATATAATATACTTTAAAAGCTTCTTGCTGGTCAAATGCTATTTTACAAGCTTTTGGTCCTCTTTGAATGATTAATAAGAAAATATGTCAGATGATTAAAAAAAAAATACATAAGTGGTATACATAACAGTCAAACCATTTCCCAAACAGTTGTGGAGGGTCTCCAGACTATGTTTCACTGGGCTGTCTTGAAAGTAGAACTACAATCTTGGTCTTTGAACAGTCATTTTGTTTTGTAAAGAAAATATCTTAGAATCCAAGGATCAGGGCCTGGTAGTTAATTAAAGAGAAAAATTTGAAGGCTCACAGAGGAGGAAAATGGTTAATATTAAATGTAAGAGCAGGACTGGCTACACAATTTGCAGGGCTCAGTGCAAAATGATTTGAGACTGTGTCATTACAGCATTAAGCCACGTGCAGAGCCTGTGACTGTATAGGTCACATACCCATCAAGCCAGCCCTAAGTAAGAGGGCTAGAAAGGGTGAGAGAAGGGCAAATTTATCTAGATATTAGTAACCAAATGTAAAACAATATAGAACATAATTATACCTTTTAATCTTGGCTATTCTTAAAAGACAATGAAATTCCCTAATACCAAAATCTCTTTAAGAGTCAGAAAATTAAAACGACCCACTTTCCAACATTTGTCTTCTTGTGCACACAGCATTTTACTAATAAAGCCAGTACAATTTCCATATTTGAATTATCCTTTTTAAAAAACTTACATTTCTTCATGTCTTTTAGAAAGGCGAATTTCTTGAACAAACAAGGACGTCATCTTTAATCAAAGCTGTGTTATCAGCTTTCTGTTAAATAATAAAAATATTTAAAGTTACTTCTACCACATGTCCTCAGCTTTGCAATGTTTAATTACTTTAGTACCTCAACCCATTGGTTCTCTCGGAGGGGAAAATAAAACTTAAGATGTAATAAGGTATAAAATGAGAGAATGCAATTAAACTCATTTTTTATTCAGGATGCATAGTTTTTCATATGCCAGATGCATCTTAGAACACCATGAATCAGGTAAGTTCAACATATTTCACATTTTCCCTTCCTTTTTTTCTCCCCAGACTCTAACCTTAATCAGAATTGAAAAACAAACAAGCAGCTGGTACTAAGACAAGTAAACATTTTATTGTATCAACAGACAGAAAAAACATCTACTCTGTAAAATTCAACACAGGAAGACCATCCCTCATGCATGTGCACACACATAGAAAAGCAAACAAGTATGAGAACCAACTGGAAACTCATGGTCTTTCCTTTATTGGAAAACTGCCCAGTTCTACCATCTCTCTTCCAAACAGGAAAGTATTTTTCGTTAATAACTTTGAGCAGAAGCACAATTAAGTACCCTCATCTTACCCTGGCTGCTCAGCACTCAGTCACCTGTGCACACTTTAACCATGAGCAGGCTCACCTTGGCTAAAGAGGCTGGCTGGGCCAATACACACAGAGGTCTAGTGGAAAGCTCTGAAGGCCCCAAGCCCGAAGGCAAACCATCTGGCTGGGCGCACAAGCTGAAGGTGCTTGTCCTAAGGAAGAAGAAGACAGGAATAAAATTCTTTCTTGGAATGAGGCTTTCCTAAATTTTACGAAATGAAACACCGATTGTCTATTAACTGCCTGAGTGTCCAGAGCGGATGGAAACCACACCCCTACTGACTGTGGGCCCTGAACCCCACCTGGGGACCCCTACTGAGTGTAAAGCGTTGAACTTCCCCAGGGGTTCCCTACTGAGTGTAGGACTGTGAACCCCGCCGGGGTGTGGGGGGTCCCTACGGAGTGTGGGGCGCTGAACCCCGTCCGGGGACCCCTACTGAGTGTGGGGCGCCGAACCCCGCCGGGGGGTCCGTACTGAGTGCAGGTCGTTGAACCCCGCCAGGGGGACCCCTACTGTGTGGGGTGCTGAACCCCGCCGGGGGAGCCCTCCTGAGTACGGGGCGCTGAACCCCGCCGGGGGACCCCTCCTGAGTGCGGGGCGCTGACCCCCGCCGGGGGAGCCCTCCTGAGTGCGGGGCGCTGACCCCCGCCGGGGGAGCCCTCCTGAGTGCGGGGCG